GATGGTTGGTGTGGCCTTTGCCTTTATTTGGAGAGAGCACCAAACAGTGCTCAAGCAATGCGGCCGGTGAATCTCTCTTAATAATTTCCTGCACTGCTATTTAGGCCAACGATTTGGATTTATGACTCACTCTACTGTTAGAAGATGGAGCTACTCTGACTTCCATAGATGTCCATCGAGGCCACTACTCTAAAGGCTTTGATTATATCTGAGTAAAATGAGTTTCCCTCCCTACCCGCAACCCCCGAGCCCTTAAAGTATTTGTTCACATACATATTAATATTACTTCTTTATTTTATCATTATTTTATATATATATATGAATTGTACGACCTTTAACTATTGATTCAAGTTGTGTATATTTTGAATGCAGAAAACAAATGCAATGATGAACATCTTTGAACTGTTAATGATAATAAAATCTTTATAAAAATAAAATAATCTATATAATATAATGAGAATAAAATCTAGTTAATAATAATTAAATAAATAATAAAATAAAACAACATTATGCAGAATTGAAAACAAATAAATTATTTGAGACAAGGTATTTTCATAGCAGTGTATGATTTTGTCACACATTGAACAAGCCAAGAATATTCATACTTACCTTTAATTTAAGTTTGTTGAAATTAGCAACTATCGCACCAATCAGCATACTCAGGGGAAGAAATAATCCATAAATAATAAAGCTGATAAAATAACAGTACATATAGATGTTGTCTTCAAAATTAGGCTGCAGACTTATCTAAAAGTTAATTAAAAAAATCAAAATTTTGACATCAACTTTTAAAATTTAGATTGATAAAATCATGACAAACAAAAGGTATCAAGGATATGATGAGAAAAGGTATCATTGTTTCCTTTAGTTAAATTTAATTTAAATTTTTAACCAAAATTTAAATAAAATTTTAACTTAAAAAAGTTTTATTAAAATATAAAACACATATCAGACACTTCAATAGTTCAATCCTATTAAAATGAATTGTACAATCATCACTACCATCAATTGTAAAACATTTTCTTCTCTCTGGTACTCATTGTTTTCAGCTCCCCACTTCCCCTCAAAATTTTATTGGTTTGTGTTAATCATTCTTACAAAGTCTGGTAATTTTTTCTACTGAACTGATAGGCCTTCGACCATTGCATATTATCCTGAAAGAATTTCATTGTTCATACATACTGAAATAGTCTGTAGGATGTTTAATTTCAATCTAGCACAAACATTTAATTTTTACCATTTTAATTATTTATTGTTTGATCTGCAATAATGATTTTGCTTGATTGACCCTTAACAATGAGTCTTAGATTATATTATACTTACAGCAATAGAATCCACTGCAGAATTCATAATACTGATCCATCCATTAAATGTTGCCTGTAAAAATGACATGTTTTTTACTCTTATGGGCATCTCATGGCTCGTGACAAATAAAATGTAAAATTTAATAAGCTAGTAATAATACTAAAATGTTTAATTAGGAAGGCTCATCATGCTTCTATACCCATGTACCTTTAACCTTTTTATTATTATATTCATGTAATATTTAACAATGATTTTAAACTATTTAGTTTATTTGTAACTAATAGACTGAAATATGCTAAGATAATTTGAATGGATAAATCGTTAAGTAAATAAATACGTGCTCTCCACAACTGGAAGACAGCTGCCTGGTCAATTAACAGAAAGAGATCCACATCTGTGCCCAATCCAAAGAAAAGTGACCCAACAGAATGCAGAAAAATGGAACAGAATCATTCAGGTCACATGTTCCTTGTTATAACTGCCCATGTGTTTTCTATCGAGGTAAGATGGAGATGGTCTCCTTTGTCACCTCTGCTGGGTGAGGAGTGGCCATTTATTAAAGCATGATTGTGATCAATGGTGGAAGACAGCAGTTTCGCCAGTACCTGCCCATTAATTCCTGCCTTCATCACCGCTCTCTTCTCACTACAGGGCAGGGCCTGCGCTTCTCTTTCATGCACCCAACAGAGCCTCCCACAGTGTCTCCCATCATATTTATTCACAAATGAATATTTTCTAAACATATTTTATAACTAGCTGCACCAGCACTTTAACCTCATCTAACAATACAGAGGAACATTTCATTGATTTAAAAATAAAAATAACTTACCACTTGAAGAAGTGAAAGGAAGCCATTCCCAACATTATCAAAGTTCATTTCTGCATTCTCCCATGGCATGGATTCATTAAACAAAAGACTTTCACACTGACTCTTATTTTGAACTTCAGACACAGGAAACCTTTCTCCGCTTGTTGGGTCAATGCACTCGTAAAACTTGCCAGCAAACAACTGTACCCCCATGATGCTGAAAACCAGCCAGATCAAAAGGCAGACCAGAAACACGCTCACAGTGGGTAATGTTGTTTTTATCAAAGCTCTCACCACGACCTGGCATATAAAAACGGAACATGCAAGCGTGAGAAAAGAGTTGCAAAACTATGTTAACATCTAGTCAAATTGAAAATGCTAATTGATGTAATCTGTCAAAGCAAGAAATGACCACCAGTCATCTTTCGACATTTAATAGTCCATATTCTGGTATTTGAATAATCAAAATGGCAATTCAACTTAGATTAGAGATATGCATAAAAGTACACATATTCATATCTTCATATTGGAAAAACAATTAAATGCAGAAGAGTTGATTAGTATAAATGCTGGAAATAATTATTTAGCTGACCTAACACTCACATTATTAATTTCCTGTACTATGCAGGAATGGGAAAGATAGTGCACCCTGTGTGTCTGTCTACACGTGATTATCTAGAAAGCATCTAAAATGAGGGGGAATGAGCCCAGAATTAAGCCTTGAATATTCTAATGTATCAGTGAAGAGCATGCTAAGAAGGCATTGAAGGAGTGGTGGAAGAAATACGGGGTGTAGTCAGAGATTGTAATAGTAATGACATCTAGGGAGGGGGTTGTTTAAGAAATACTGAATGGGCAGCTGTACTCTGGAACATCCGTACCTCCTCACTGATCTATGTCAGTGATGAACCAGATGGAAAATTTGGAAGCGGTTTCACCACCAAATTTGGAAGAACAGCAGTATAATCACTATAAGGAGCTTTGTGGGGTAAGCATTAGGTTGATAGCTTCAAGGTTGGCATTTCAAACCCACCAGCACCTCTGAGGTAGAAAGGAGAAGCTGGATGCTTCTGAAAAGATTTGTAGATTTAGAAAGCTTAAAGAGGGTGACATCGGGTTGGAATCAACTTGATCGAAATGGATTTGGGTTTGTTTTAAAATCACCGTGGCCATTTCTTCCATCCCTTCAGTCATTAACATTACAATCAGAATGGTATGCTTATGACCACTAATGGTGCTATGACAAATGTAAACCTCTAGTTAAATCCAGGAGACTATTTTTAATATTCATTATATTTTACCTTTCTCTTAGCATTTATACTTTGACTCTCCTCTCCCTCACCCCAACACACTGTCTCTTCTCTTTTGTACCCGTTTAATCAATTCTTACCTCAAATCTTGCTAGATTTTGTCTTCTAACCTATACCTCCTTGCTTATACATATTCCTTAGTTTTCAATTGTAACTTTTAATATTTCTTTTAACAATACTTTATTTCTAGAAATAAGTCTCAGATATTTTAGCCCCTCTAGATATTTTAAGAAGTCAACTGGTACTTTTATTTACCAAAAAAAATCCAAACCTGTTAGAAATACTCATATAAATAAAAAAAAATGGCTACAATTGACACACGTATTTTAGTAGTAACAACTACAGCAAGGCCTATAGCTTATTAAATGAATAAATATAATTTTTATTCATGTAGCTTTAAAAATACTCTTTACTATAGCTTCAAAGATAATTCAAGTACACAACTTCTAGAGGTTGAGCTGATGCTTCCGACCTGGTAACGGCATTGACCTAATCGTGGCTTCCACTTACCTGACCTTGACCTGACCATGGCTATGATTTCATTGCTTTCCTATACATGTATGTCCTCAGGTGGCATAATGCTTGATTTCTGACAGACACAACTTCCCAAGCAAATCGCTGCCTGCTAATTCTACATTGGAAACTGAAAATGTGCAGATTTGGGTAACTTTGGTCCCACAAAACTACATTAAAAAAAAACCCGGTAAGAGTGACATTTTATTGATATTCAATTATCTAAGTTGTCATCCTTTTATTTTTTTTGACTCAATAGATCATCTACATAGCTCTAGAATCTTCTATGAAATGTTCTTACCGTTAGATTATCGCTGTGCTAGAAAAGTGAACTATTTTATCATTTTTACCTTAATACTATACTTTTGTTCAATCATTTCCCCTTTTCAGCTATTCCCACCTTGTGTTGGTTTAAAAGCATAGGGAAAGTTTACTCTCTGACAGTTATATTTGAAAAATGGAGGCAATTTGATTAATATTCCTGTGTATATCCACGACAATTAGAATGGTACTCTTTTTCAACTGTAGCCCCAGAATCACCTGTCAAGTTTTCCTATCAATTATTTGTTGTTTTGCTTATCTTACTTATGTTCATATATTGTGAGTATAAAAGACAAAATATTAATAGGTATGAGTAACATAAGTATTCCTTTTTTATTTTTAAATAGTACAATATAAGGGTTTTGCCTCATTTACACTTGTAAAAGATACAAAGTTTGTTAATTTGTGGAATTTAACTTTAGCTATAGAAAATTAAAATCTATGATTTATTGTTGGAAATTTCACTTACCTTCATTCTTTCAAATTGAGATAGAACTCTGAGGGCACGAAGAAATTTAGTAGATGTAAGTGGTCTTAGATCTTCCCGAGACTTCCCTATTAAGCTAAGGCAAAAGACCTACGCACACAAAAAAGGGTGGATATAATTGAATTTTAATAAAAATAACACGTGAAATTCAAATTATATTTGTATTAAAGAAGATACAGAATCAGAGTCTACCAAGAGATCTGCAAGTGATTTTAACCTATGTTTAAAATATCTAAATAAAGACATAGAAATTGTGATGAAATAATTCGGTCTTAAAATCATTTCAACAAAGATAAAAGTATTTTCTGATAGCAAGGAACATACGCAATTAAGATAAAATTTGCATATTCAATAATCTTTATATTTTTTATAATCAAAGCTCAATATTTGCGTTCATTTTTCTGTTTGAAAAAGTTCATAATCTTTTGATAGTTTCAGTTTTGTCATTATTGTGATATAGTAATAACATGCCAAGTATAGGTTAAAATTAAATTTTCAAATATATGTACATATACCACTGTTGCAATGGATAAAAACAAAAAGGGATTTCAGAGGACAGGTATCAAGGAGGTGATAAATATTATTAAATTAAAAGTATTAATTAGAGAAAAGTACAACCTGATATGAAGGTGATTCTAAAACTTTTATTATTTTTATTTCTCAACTCTCAATATGACTGCATTTATTTTTATATTGACTATTGTTCCAAGGTCATACTGTCTTTTAAACAATTTGTTATTAATTGGGTGTTAATGCATGTATCATATCATTCCTTAGTTCCATCACATCAAGCACTACTGTACACTTGGTACCACAATCAGTTTCCAAACATTTGTTTTCTTCTTGAACTCCTTAACATTGTCTCCCTTTTACCCCCCACCCCCCTCACTGTATCCACCTCCCCAAGCCCTTATTCTACTTGCTGTCCCTGTGGGTTCATCAACCCGAGGTTTCATATACTGAAACACAGAAAAACGTATAATGCAACTTCACGAGGACATGCCCCAATGACATACCACCTCTGAGCTATAGCCTAATATGAACAAACCAAAAATATAGAAAACGTTGAGAACCAGATCAGGTGCAGCCTGCATCAGGGGGAATATCAACTGACAATGTTTTAACTGTTCAAGTCAGAGTTATGCCTTTGATCTTCTATGCTCATCTCTCCAACACACTCTGTTTAGTGATCGCTGTCTTCCTCTCTCAATAACGAATAGAGGGAGATCCCCAGAGGCTTATTTTCTATGTAGTTCCCACAAATGTACTTTGGGCTCCCACTGTCATCTCACAACTGAGGCTCTGATATTAATCCCACCTTCGACTTCAGATTATATGATTTACAATCCCTCGGTGACTGATGATGGGGCATAGAACTTATATTTTAGTGGGTGAAGACAATAAGAAAAAAATTAACATTATGTAGTATCAGCAGACACTATAGAGACAAATGAAGGCCCCTGGTGGCATAGTGGGTTATTTGTTAGACTGTTTACTGCAAACTCAGCGGTTCAAACCCACCAGGTGCTCCTGAAAAGAAAGTTGAAGCTACTGAAAATATTTACAACCCTGAAAACCCAAAGTGGCAGTTCTACTCTACCTTCACAGGGCCACTCTGAATCAGAATGGGCACAATGACTGTGAGTTTTGAGACAGAAATAATGCAGAGAGAGGGAAAGTTTATTGGAGTGGTTGCAGATTTAAATAGAAGAGTGAGGAACGGCCTAATGTCAAAGATACCATTTAAGAAAAGACATGAAATATGACATGAACAGTGAAAGCGGGGTCAGTAAATCCCCCCTATGGCTGGACTGATTTTGTTTCCAAAATTTTCTGTATTTTTGGTTTGTATGTTCTGTTTGGTTTTTGTATGTTCATATGGGTTTGTTTTCTCAGAGGTGTCATGTCATTGGAAGACACCCTCTTGCAGCTGTGTTATATGTTTGTCCATTATTTGTCATAAAACCCCAGGATGGATGAAGCGAAGGGGACAGCAAGTAGAATAAGGATTTTGTGGGGAGGGGATACAGTGGTGGTGGAGGGGGTGGTGGTTAAAGAGACACCATATCAAGGAGTCCATCTAGAAAAAGTATGTGTAGATACTAGTTATGGCAGCAATCGTACAATTCTACTGGATGTGATTGAACTATGGAATGATATAGGTATTCAATCCCAGTTAATAATAATTGTTTTAAAAGGAAAAGACATAAATAAGGTGTGCTAGCAAAGAGTCCAGGTGGGTAGATGAAGAGGTGCAAGGCACCAGGAGGGAAGTCATCTCGGCAGTCTGGAGAAATGGCGAAGAAGGCGGTAGTGGTAGAGCTGACGAGGGAGGGGCCAGCACAGAGAGTAAGTTCTAAGAAAACCGTGAGCCTTTGATGGTGAAGACTTCGGCCTTTACTCTGAGAAAACAAACAGTTTCCACAGGTTGATTCTGACATGGCAACCCTATGTATTTTGGAGTAGAATTGTGTTTCATGGGTCTCAGTGGCTAGTTTGTCAGAATATATATGTAGCTTTTCTTAGGCCTTTTTTCTTTCTTTTTTTTTTTTTTAAAGACAGCCCTGGGTGGCCTAGTCCTCCAACCTTTAGCTTAGCAGCTGAGTGTCTTCATTCTTGACCCACATCAGGGATTCTGTGGTATGGGTGCCTATTGAAGAGTTCAGAAAGGACGAGTGACATGAGCTGATTTCTACTTTGCAACAGTCACCTATTGCTGTGTGGAGAATCAAATGGAAGGTCTGCAGGGATGAGAGAGAGAGCTATTTTGTAATTAGGTATAGTGGATGGAAATGAGCAATTATACTAGTTTGGATCAGGGTGGTAGTAGTGAAGTTGTCTAATTTGGATAGATGACTTAAAGGTAGAACTGAGAGAATTTAAAGGTTCTAGAGTTAATATTTTAAAGTAATGTGCAATATTCTGTATATTCGGTATATTCTGAAGCACTGAGCTTGTAGGTGATTATTACAATAATTTAGAATTGAATTGCTGAACTTTATAGATTTTGGACCGAGGAGAAAAGAATACAGAATATTACAAATGAATAAAGGTGGAATGCTGAGGACTAAAAATATAGGAAGAGAAGGAAAAGAAAGATCTAGGTAAATGAAAGGGTACGTGAAAGAGTAAGAGTAATATGTACACACACACAAAAACTTTCCTTAAAAAATACATACAATAACAACCATGAAGTCCAGTCTGTGCCATGCATTAGTGAAATAGGCTTTAAAACCATATGCCATCCACTTTAGAAGCATTTCCAGAATGAAGATGTAAGTGAAGATCATGTCAGCATATTCCAGTAAGATCTTAATAGTCTTTCTCTGATTGATATATATATCTTCAAAAGCCTGTGAGAAACCAAAATACTGGTCAACATATAATTTAAAAAAAGATTACCTTGGCATAAAATATAGTGAACTTGTTCTCATAATTGTTCTAAATAGTGACCTCAAAGTCCCCCTCTACTTAGTTAAGGAGAGTTAACATAGGTGAAATCTTTCGTTATGTCAATATGAAAGCTATCTTTAAATTCAGGACACTAACTCACACACATTTGGTAAATGTTATAGAGTAGTACAGATTTAAGGAAACAAGATGTATCTTTAGAAATCCTTATAGTTAATACAAGAAAAATCCATAATCAATTTTACTGTAGGAATTATATGGTGAACTAGGGCAGGCACATGAATATAAATTAAAACTTTAATAATTTCTTCCAAGGGTTTCAGTGCTAATAGGGCAACCATAATTTTATGATGTGATATGAACATTTTAATAGCTGTATTTAAGTACTAATGTGATTAAATCAATCTCATAAATGTTTGCTTACACTGGAAAAAAGTGGGGGGGAACAATGCACTAATACCTCAGGCAGACTTTCATTATTGAAGAGTATACAAACAATAAATCAGGAAAAAATAACGACTAAGGATTGACATTATTTTAGGTAAGGAATGGTGGGATTTTGAAATATATGCCTTTAAATATAAGTAAATATGGAATAACAATAGAATAGCTCACTTTAGATTTAGAACACAATAAACAGCTGGAAGAGAAAGTGCCCCACACATCACATGGTGATAATACAAACAAACAAATCAGTTGAGTCTCAAGGAGGAACTAGGACGACAAAGTGGACACACGCGCACCAACACCAGCAGGGGGAGCTCAGATCCACAGGGCACAGGGAGCGGCAAGGTCGATTCCGGTGCTGCCTTTTTAGTGCCCTTTATCAGCAGTCCACCGACTACAGCTACTGTGACTGCTGTCTGACAGTGGAAATTCTCTAGAAAATGGCTTCTGCAAAATAAAGCCAGCTCCTTCAAGAGACAACATTTCTGGGGAGGTGGGATGGGGACTGGGGGACAGGATGCATTTCAACTAATGGCCACACAGGTGGGACTAACTCTAGTGTGATCGTTTCTGAGTTTCCCTACCGGATCAGATGAGGACCTGAATGAAGGGGTATTTTAAAAATAATGGCTGGCCTTTTTAAGGTCTGCACTGCTACTCTTCCCACCAGAAGATACACAAATCAAGTCAAATAGCATCATCATGTGGCTGGGGAAGTACGGGGATTCCTCAGAGAGCAGGTTGATACACCAGAAGGCTTCATGTACTGGAAGGAAATAGTTGCTGTAACAAATTACCACAAATTTAATGACTTAAAATAAAATTACTCTTTCTGCATGCTGGAGGGCAGATGTCTGAAATCATTTTCAGTGGGGCTAACGTCAAGGTGCTGGAAAAGACCGGCTCTTTCTGGAAACATCTTTGCCTTTTTCAGCTTCTAGACTTGGCAAGTCGGGCAGCTAACCTCAAGATCAGCAGTTTGAAACCACCAGCTGCTCCGTAGGATGATGATGAGGCTTTCGACTCGCACAAGGCGTCACCGTCGCAGAAGCCCACAGAGGCAGCTGTACTCCGTTCTACGGGTCGCTTGAGCAGCCATCTGTTCTAAGGCAGTGAGTTATGTTTTTTTTCCCTTGGCTTTGACACCGATGTCATCTTTTAAGCATGTCACTTCAAATCTATTTCCACCCTTTTGCCTCGGATTTTCATGCTTTTTGCTTCCTTATAGCCCCTGTGGTGAAGGTGGTTATGCACGAGGCTGCTAACCATAAGAATACATATAGAATCTTGCAAATGAATAAAAATGGGATGTTGGTGAAATATCGGCAGATGGGAATCACCAGCCGCTCTGCAGGATAAAAGTGAGGCAGCAAGCCTGGCTAGACCAGAGCATGTACACTGGTAGAGACAGGAACTGGAAACACAGGCAATCCAGGGCGGATGATCCCTTCAGGACCAGTGGTGTGAGTGGCGATACTGGGAGGGTAGAGGGAGAGTGGGT